AGTCACAAAAGAGCCAGCATTAGGCCACAGTTTTTCAGTTAGTCTGTCTCGCTCGCTGTGAAGTGTATCTGATATTATCATTCAATTACAGAAGGCTACATTACCCAGGACTCATCAGAAGCTCTTCTACTTTGCAGCGGTTGTAAAGTTCTGGTGTTTTGGAGTCCACCGCAGAGCAGAGCACCTGCTCCCTCAGCAACCTTAGGAAACAAGGAAATGGTTATGCGTCCTCAAAAACACAGGAAAATATTACAACTTTAGGCGAGTAAAGAAATTCTTGCAGGAATAAAGACCTGTGCTGTCAGTCAGTTGGTCGACTAAAAGGGGTGTGGCAAAAGCTCTGGAAACTCTTCTGTATCTGTGTATCTGACCCAAACTGCACTCACCAGACTACATCTGCAGGGGGCGCTCATGCAAAAACTATTTATGCACAAAAGAAGAACTAGAAAACTATGTATTTATATAAAGACAGATGCAACTTGTGAGTTTAATCTGCCTTTTTACAGAGGAATACCAAAAAATACCAAATCTCCAGCTCACTCACTTCTCAAATATTAGTGCAGGAGATTAGTGAAAAAAACGTTCACTTGGTATAAAAGCATGAAATTTGGCACAGATACTCTCTAAGGGCCGCTATTTAGGAAAAAGGCATTGGCCACTCAAAAATTCAATATGGCGGCCATTTTTCAAGACTTTTCTATTTGTGGCCACACTGGCTTGTCCAAACCTGATGTCATCAGATCTCAGAAGCTCAGCAGCTCCGGGCCTGGTTAGGACTTGAATGGGAGACACTGGGAAAATCAGGTGCCACAGGGGGGCACCAGCTGTAAAAAACTGTTTATGTTGTGTCCTTAGGCAAGACACTTCACCCACATTGCCTAGTATGAAAGGTACGTGTGAGTGATGGTGGTGGTCAAGGGGCCGATGGCGCCGATTGGCATGGCAGCCACACTTCTGTCATTCTGCCCCAGAGCAGCTGTGGCTAGAATAGCAGGTTATTATCACCACCGCATCTGGAGTGAATAATGCTCTGTAAAGTGTCTGTGTGACAAATGTCTGTGAAAAGAATGAAATAAATAAAAAACTTATACTGAAAAAATGGTCTGAGAGGGGTTGCTCCAATTGCAAAAACAAATTTGACAACAATAACATGACTTTTTAACGTTTCTCTGTCCAGCATGTTTAAATCTTACAAAGGTCACTTGATTGTGGCCGATGTGAGACCTGCATGTTTTAATCAGACTGAGGAAACATGACTTTATTCTAATCTGTGGTGAGGCTCCTCCCTCTGGAATTCTCCTCCCCAAAACTTTTGGAGGGAAAATTCAAATGTAACAGGACACAGGACAGTTCCAGGAGCAGAGAGGAAACACAGTGTGGAGCAGGAGGATTATGAGAACTGATCTGGAGGTGAGACTTTTCAAAGATGTTATGTGCTTCTCTGCACTAGAATGTCCTCATTGTTAAAACATGTTTGTGGTGTTTTACTTGAAATTAGAGTTAATGTAAGGACTGTTTCCATGAGACAAATTGTATTTGACTGTCCATCTACAAGAGTGTGACAGTTGTACTCAGATTTGAATGTGTTTGTTCCAGAGTCGTCTACAAACAAAGAGTGATATCCAGAGCTCTGCTGCAGCTGTGGGGAAGTTCATGAATGTTACAGCTGATGTTTCAGAAAAAAGGAAGATGTTTGAGAACCAACAAACCACAGAGCACAGATGAACAAAGTAAGTAACTCAACTAAAATGATTTTAAACACATTTTTCAAAATGAACTTCCTATTGAAACAGTTATGGTATTTCTACAGAGTGATGTGGCACTAGAGGACTTTATACCAGATGCCCTACCTGTTACTGCGTTTAGAGGAAGAAAAGAAAAAATTGGAAAAATGCTGATGGCATCTCAACCATCGAATGTTTGTCATCTTGATTTTTTGAGGGACAAGCACCATTCTCCAAAAAAACATTCTCAACAGAGTATTTTCACAAAATGCTATGCCTACATCACAGTTTGAACGCTCGACATAATGAACATTTGACAGAAATAGTGACCATCTTGAAAAATGAAAATGACTGCCATTTTGAATTTTCGAATGGCCAACGCCTTTTTCCCAAAACATGACCCTTAGAGAATGTCTGTGCCAAATGTCATGCTTTTATACCAAAGTGAACGTCCATCCATCCATTTTCGTCCGCTTATCAGGGGCCGGGTCGCGGGGGCAGCAGCCTAAGCAGGGACTCCCAGACTTCCTTCACCCCAGACACGTCCTCCAGCTCCTCCGGGGGGACCCCGAGGCGTTCCCAGGCCAGTCCAGAGACATAGTCCCTCCAGCGTGTCCTGGGTCTTCCCCGGGGCCTCCTCCCAGTGGGACATGCCCGGAACACCTCCCGAGGGAGGCGCCCAGGAGGCATCCGAAACAGATGCCCGAGCCACCTCAACTGGCTCCTCTCGATGTGGAGGAGCAGCGGCTCTACTCCAAACTCCTCCCGTGTGACTGAGCTCCTCACCCTATCTCTAAGGGAGCGACCAGCCACCCTGTGGAGGAAACCGATTTCGAGCGCTTGTATCCGCGATCTCGTCCTTTCGGTCACTACCCAGAGCTCATGACCATAGGTGAGCGTAGGAACGAAGACTGACCGGTAAATCGAGAGCTTCGGCTCAGCTCCCTCTTCACAACAACGGTCCGATACAGCGACCGCATCACTGCCGAAGCTGCACCGATCCGCCTGTCAATCTCCCGTTCCGTCCTCCCCTCACTCGTGAACAAGACCCCGAGATACTTGAACTCCTCAACTTGAGGCAAAGACTCCCCACCCACCCGGAGAGGGCAAGCCACCTTTTTCCGGTCGAGAACCATGGCCTCAGACTTAGAAGAGCTGAGCTTCATCCCAGCCGCTTCACACTCGGCTGCAAACCGCCCCAGTGCACATTGCAGGTCCTGGTTCGATGAAGCCAACAGGACAACATCATCCGCAAACAGCAGAGATGAGATCCTGTGGTCCCCAAACCGGACCCACTCCGGCCCCTGACTGCGCCTAGAAATTCTGTCCATAAAAACAATGAACAGAACCGGTGACAAACGGCAGTCCTGGCGGAGTCCAACATGCACCGGGAACAGGTCTGACTTACTGCCGGCAATGCGAACACAGCTCCTGCTCCGGTCATACAGGGACCGGACAGCCTTTAGCAAAGGGCCCCGGACCCCATACTCCCAGAGCACCCCCCACAGGACACCACGAGGGACACGGTCGAATGCCTTCTCCAAGTCCACAAAGCACATGTGGACTGGTTGGACAAACTCCCATGAACCCTGGAGCACCCTATGGAGAGTGTAGAGCTGGTCCAGTGTTCCACGGCCAGGACGAAAACCACACTGCTCTTCCTGGATCCGAGGTTCGACTATCGGCCGGATTCTCCTCTCCAGTACCCTGGCATAGACCTTACCGGGAAGGCTGAGGAGTGTGATCCCCCTATAGTTGGAACACACCCTCCGGTCCCCCTTCTTATACAGAGGGACCACCACCCCCGGTTTGCCAGTCCAGAGGTACTGTCCCCGACCGCCACGCGATGTTGAAGAGGCGTGTCAGCCAAGACAGCCCCTGCAACATCCAGAGACTTAAGGTACTCAGGACGGATCTCATCCAACCCCGGAGCCTTGCCACCAAGGAGCTTTCCAACCACCTCAGTGACTTCAGCCAGGGTGATGGATGAGTCCGCCTCCGAGTCCCCACCTCGGCCTCCTCCTCGGAAGACGTGACGGTGGGATTGAGGAGATCCTCAAAGTATTTCTTCCACCGCCGGACAACGTCCCCAGTCGAGGTCAGCAGCTCTCCCCCCGCACTGTAAACAGTGTTGGCGAAGAACTGCTTCCCCCTCCTGAGGCGCCGGACGGTTTGCCAGAATCTCTTTGAGGCCGTCTGATAGTCCTTCTCCATGGCCTCCCCGAACTCTAGTCAACAACTAAGAGTACTGTTACACTGTACTACATATTACTCAAGTAAGAGTACTGTTACACTGTACAATAGTACTAGTACTTAAAAAATGTTCCTCAAGTAAGAGTAAGTGTGCTGCTAGAAAAGTTCTCTATAAAGTACAATTTCTTTAAAAGTCAAGTCAATCTAGCACACACCTCTGCTCTTCTGTAAAGCAGATTTTCTGTATTCTTCAAATGACTTAAATATGATGTGAGTTGTGACAGGTGCTAGTGTGGACTTTGTGATCTTGGACTCACCAGTTGGACCAGTCTCTTCCAGTGTAAATGTAAATGAACCTATAAAAAGCACATGGGAATCACAGTCAGCCAATGAAACAAACCCAGACGTCTCTGCTAGAGATGTAACAATAACAAAATATCATCATATCGTATCGTCAAAAGTCTCACAACAAAATATTGTGGGATGTCACAATATTTTGATTTACAAAATCCTTTGCTTAAATGCATGGTTTTATAGAATAGAATAGAATAGAAAATACTTTATTGTCATTATACACAGTACAATGAGATGCAGAAAATTATAGTGTCAATAGCTAATAAACTCGGGAAAAATCGAGAACTACATATCCCATGATTCATTTCAATGCAGACAATATGAAGAAATATGTTTTTACTTGAATTGTTGGGATTATGACAGTAATAATTCACATCAAAATCTTGTCAGGGCATTTTTAAAGCAAAAAAGTGTCCTATCTACATTATATCGGCTTCTCCAAAATATCACAATAAATATCATACTGTGAAATGCATATTGTGATAATATCGTACCAAGAGATTTGGATAGTGTTACATCTCTAGTCTCTACATGTTTAAACAGTTCAACACATCGAAAATCAGACACAAATCCATACTATAACTAGTACTGAAAAAAAAGTCCCACTGACAGGACAGAAATGAATCTTTCCTGAATGTCTTTAGAATGATGTTGAGTGGTATCAGAACAAGAAGAAGACACATAGACTAGTACACACACATGGACCAACATGAACCTACTGCACCCCTGAGGATCACACACATATAACACACGTGAGAATATAGTCAAATAATGTCATGAACATGTTTGATGTAAATAGATGTAAATAAGTGACTGTTTTCTTGGCTGTAGAGTGAGCTGTCCCTGGGACCTCACACTGGGACCTCTGGTCTTGGGGGGGATCTGAGCACCAGGGCTGGCAGACAATTTCTGTACTTCTGAACTTTTCTTCCAAAAGTTAAGCAGTTATGCTCCTCAGTGTGTGTTTTCTGTTTCATTTGAATACAGGAAGTTCCCCACTGTGTAAACTCCACATATCTTTACTAGAATCATTTGGATAATGATGGAAGTTGCCAATCTCTACTGAACTAAAGGTAAAAGAAGCTGTTCACTTGAAAACTACCACTACATGACATCACAAGGTGGAACAGAGCATTTGGAGCTTTGGAGATGTAGACAGACTAATAATAAAGTGTTGCTCAAACATGTGTGAATGAAACAAAACACAACTCCAGGTGTGTTTTTGAGGAGGTAAATGTGACATACATATAGGCTCTTTAACACTGACTCTAGTGTTTGAGTCCAGAGTGTTTTGCTTGTTAAAATGTGGACACTCATAAAAAGGCGGCGGATCTTTCCAGGTTAATCATACATCGTATCAGTGAGGTGTACGTCACAGGCTGTCTGTAATATATTCTCTATATGAACTTGTAACATTAAAGTGCAGATGACTGAATGATGAAATTCAACAGAAAAGGCGTCACTCTTACTCCACTCTAGTGTTTGTGTTGGTGATGAAATGGTTCATTCCCTCAGTATTTCCTCTAGAAGGTCTGCCACATTTTCTGCCATTTTTGGGGCAAAAAGCCTGTGGTATCTATGTCCAGAGCTAGCCCCATGCACGGTCTCCATGGATACGGTTGTAGGTTGTAGGCTGTAGGTTGTAGGCTGGAGGTTGTAGGTTGTAGATTGTTGGTTGTAGGTTGTAGGTTGTAGGTTGTAGGTAGTAGGTTGCAGGTTGTAGGTTGAAGGTTAGGTTGGAGGTTGGAGGTTGTAGGTTAGGTTGAGGTTAGGTTGGAGGTTGTTAGGTTGTTGGAGGTTGTTGAGGTTTGTTGTAGGTTGTAGGTTGTAGGTCAGTAGGTTAGGTTAGGTTGGAGGTTGGAGGTTGGAGGTTAGGTTTGAGGTTGAGGTTAGGTTGGAGGTTGCAGGTTGTAGGTTGTAGGTTAGGTTGCAGGTTGTAGGTTGTAGGTTAGGTTGTAGGTTGTAGGTTAGGAGGTTGGAGGTTGGAGGTTGGAGGTTGGAGTTGGAGGTTGTTTAGGTTGTAGGTTGAGGTTGGCAGGTTGGAGGTTGTGAGGTTGGAGGTGTAGGTTGCAGGTTGTAGGTTGGAGGTTGTAGGTTGGAGGTTGTAGGTTGGAGGTTAGGTTAGGTTAGGTTGGAGGTTGCAGGTTGAGGTTGGAGGTTGTAGGTTGGAGGTTGGAGGTTGTTGAGGTTAGGTAGGTTGGAGGTTGTAGGTTGCAGGTTGGAGGTTGGAGGTTGTTGTAGGTTGAGGTGGGAGTGTAGGTTGCAGGTTGTAGGTTGGAGGTTGCAGGTTGTAGGTTGGAGGTTGGAGGTTGGAGGTGGAGGTTGGGTGTGGAGGTTGTAGGTTAGGTGCAGGTTGGAGGTTGGAGTAGGTGTAGGTTGAGGTTGTAGGTTGAGGTTGAGGTTGGAGGTTGGAGGTTGGAGGTTGGAGGTTGAAGGTTGGAGGTTGGAGGTTGAGGTTGTTGAGGTTGGAGGTTAGGTTTAGGTTGGAGGTTGGAGGTTGCAGGTTGTAGGTTGTAGGTTGGAGGTTGGAGGTTGCAGGTTGGAGGTTGGAGGTGGAGGTTGGTAGGTTAGGTTGGAGGTTGAGGTTGAGGTTGGAGGTTGGAGTTTGAGGTTGGAGGTTGGTTGGGTTGAGGTTGCAGGTTGGAGGTTGGAGGTTGGAGGTTGGAGGTTGAGGTTAGGTTAGGTTGCAGGTTGAGGTTGAGGTTAGGTTGTAGGTTGGAGGTTGGAGGTTGTAGGTTGGAGGTTGGAGGTTGGAGGTTGTAGGTTGTAGGTTGCAGGTTGTAGGTTGGAGGTTGCAGGTTGTAGGTTGGAGGTTGGAGGTTGGAGGTTGTAGGTTGTAGGTTGGAGGTTGGAGGTTGTAGGTTGGAGGTTGGAGGTTGCAGGTTGGAGGTTGGAGGTTGGAGGTTGGAGGTTGGAGGTTGCAGGTTGGAGGTTGGAGGTTGGAGGTTGGTAGGTTGGAGGTTGAGGTTGTAGGTTGGAGGTTGAGGTTGTAGGTTAGGTTAGGTTGGAGGTTGGAGGTTGAGGTTGCAGGTTGGAGGTTAGGTTGGAGGTTGGAGGTTGGAGGTTGTAGGTTGTAGGTTGGAGGTTGCAGGTTGAGGTTGGAGGTTGCAGGTTGGAGGAGGTTGGAGGTTGAGGTTGGAGGTTGGAGGTTTAGGTTGAGGTTGGAGGTTAGGTTGAGGTTGAGGTTGGAGGTTGCAGGTTGGAGGTTGGAGGTTGGAGGTTGGAGGTTGAGGTTGGAGGCTGGTGCACAGTGAAACAGTTCCCTTGAGAATGCCCTGCTCCTTCTGCTTGGATGCTTGTGCATTATAGACCAGTCCAGTGTTTTTAGGTGAATATTCACTTTTGTAAACGCAGTTAAGTATGAATTAGATTAGATTAGATTCAAATGTATTGCTATTACAAATATATAAATACAAGGTAACGAAATGTTGTTTAGCACTGAATTCTACCATGACTTAAAGCTCATGAAACTTGGTTTAGGATAGGTAATATATAACATAATATACATAATATATAGGCTCTAGTGTTTAAGTTGAGAGTTATTTGCTTGTTAAGTGTCATAAAAAGGCAGTGGTCTGTTTTACAAGAAAGTCCGGGTTAATCATACATCATCCCAATGAGATGTCACACTGTTTTAAACGTTTTTCCCATCACTGATGCTTTGACGATAGTTTCTTTGGAAATATAAATGTTTATATTAAAGCTACAGTATGTACCTTTCTGGAGGTAGGATATTTCCTGCCTGATTTTATGGAACCAGAATGTTCAAACCATACTTCAGAGCCCTCTCCATGGAGAGGTCAGTTTTAGAGAGAAAGAGATACTTTATTAATCCTGAGGATAATTCAAGTTTTGCTGCATTAAACTGTTGCACTTCTGCTGCAGTAAACATTTCCAGTGAGTGTCTCAGTGTCCTTTGTGTCTCAAAGGTCAAATGTCTCAGTGCAGTTTAACAGGAGCAGTGGTCAGGGAGGGTCAGCAGATCCTGTGAAAAAGCCAAAAGTGTCCCTCCTCTATGTCCTGCAGCGTCACAGCAGAGTCCAGGGGGAGCCTGGTGTACAGATCAGGAAAGGCCTCGTTCTGACACCGCTCTGATTTATCGGTGGTAATCGTTTTAATATGAATATGATAAGAGTAATATGGAGAAGCCATAATAAAATACATAAAATTTATATTTATATAAAATGTATATTGTGGAAAGATTTCTTTCAATCTGTCTTTTTGTAAAACCCAAGACCAGAGCATCATCAGCAGGTGTAAAGGCTCAGCAGACACGAGCGTCAGGAAAAGCCTCTGTGGTCTGACCTGTCCTCAAGTCTGTGAAACTAAAGTCACTCTGCTTTGATATGTAAGTGGTATTTGTGTATAAATCCTCAGAGGTCAGACGCTCTGGGGGACATGGAGAGAGGAGACTCAGGAGAGGCTGTTGGTCTGTGGCAGGACTGGGCCCCGTGCACATCTGCTGCAACAAGCTGCATTTCTTGCATGAAATGCCACCAAACGTTCCTCAGGACGCTGAAATGTCCCAGTTTACACCAAACACGACCAAACTGTCCTGGTTACAGACATCACAGCTAATGAAATGTTACACATTACAGTTTAATGCAGCTTCCAGCAACAATTAATGTTCGTGTTTACAGGCAACACCTTGGTATGTTTACAGTATTTACCGGTAAGTATAACGTCACCGTGACGTGGATGGATTTGCTAAGTATAACCCATTATAACTCACGTATAACCCATTGTCTGAAATGCAGCTGAGATGAAGGTTAAGACTGACTGATGCTCGCTGTGGCTGTAGCCGTGAATGTTTTAATCTAAACATACAGAGAACCTGATATTTGCTAATGATCCCTGGGATAAAATTACGTTGGATGTTGCCAACTGGCTCCACTATGTTTTCTAACATATAGGTGAAATTTCCCGTTCAGAGGAGGTGTTTCTACACAATATTATACAGCAGCGTTCGGTTCCCGAATTCAAGACATTTTTACAATAGATT